TTCGCTCATTAGGAATCACCGTGAGCACTGAGAAACAGGGTCAATCCTCAGATCAATGTTACTTACATAATTAGGCCCTTGAATATTTGCCGCTTGACAACAACAACTCAGAGAAGCTTCTGGTTATGGTAATGCGATGCCCCCGACTTTTGGTGCTTGTCCAGTCTCTGCTGTTGACTGACCCAGCTGCCGAGAACCTGACCAGCGCCAGATTCGGTGCCTGGTGGCTTCGACGAGCTATCCAGGAGAGTATTCTCCCACCAACTCAGCAGCCTCGACATCGCGTGAGAGTTGGCGCTTTGGTTTAATAACGGTACCGTTCAGGCCCACAAAGGTCTGATTCAGAGAGTAACGAGTCGCGTATTATACCGACAGCCCTTTACCAAAGAATTCTGACATGTAGTTGGTCAGCTATCTTCGGAGCCACATGAGATAGTACCTACGCGCAATGACGGAAGCAGTAATGTCTACATGTACGCAGTACTACGCACATGGTGAGGAGCTTGGACACAATAATTAAATTTGATTTTGAGAGAAAATTGCGTGCGGAAACATCAGGTTGCTCCCACGTACGTCGCCAACCAAAACATCGATTCAAATTCAAACGAGGGTCACAGCTGATGGTGTCAATTTTCGCCGTGTATGCTGCAGTTCCGCAATTGGTTTGGAGTGGAAATCACCCTCCTACGACTTAGCTCTTGGACTTTTGTTACTCCTTGGTTTCAATATTGTTGTATCGCCTTTTCATCACAGCAAAGGGCCGCGAAAACAGTTAATTCCTGACCAGGGACAGGCGATATTATCATGCTTCTACAGGTCTAACAATCGATTGAAGTTGGAATCTGCCCCTTGAATCAATTAGTTAAAGTTTGAGTGGTCAAACATCCAAGAGCCCAACAGCAGGAAGCAAGGAAGCAACTCTGGAATCGCTTCTTATTACGCAGGTTGCGAGAAGGATTGAACCCCAAGCGCGGGACTGTCGCCCTGGAATTGGGAAGCTCAGGCAGGCTGGGACGTTTCCACGCATGGGGCCAGACCTACTGCTTGCGGACCCCGTCACAATTGAGCCAGAGCGCCAACAATGACGTATGCGAAAAATACGCATCCATTTACTGCCTACATTATTGGGTCACTGTCTGCGACTGCGCGGACTGATGATGACTGCGTCATCATCAGTCCGTTTGGGGGCGTCCTGCGCGGGAAATAGGCGAAGGTGAGGGTGTTGGGGGTTTTGAACTTCCAGAAACCGGAGTGGGGCTCCGTGATGTAGGAGGACTCCGGGTGTCATGACTGGCTGTTGGACGAGTTGATGAAGATGCCGGCGCCTTTCCTCTTGCTCCCGGAAGCCATCCCCACAATCGGGCAGATGCAGCGGCTGCGGCCTCTGCTAATGCCTTTTCGTCTCGTTTCCTTTCAAATGCAGCCCGATGCCTCTCGTAGGCTTCCCTAAACTGTCTGTCTACGCGTGACGAAAAAATGAGCTCTCCTCGGGGGTTTGTAGACGGTGGGATTGGAGCAATAGTGGTCGAGCCCCTCCCATGCCGCGTGCCGCTGGGGGATGCCAGCGAAGTCGCAGGGGGTTCAGGGGCTGGTTTTATAAACCGATTGAATGGCCATGGGAGCGTTGGGGGAGGCGTTCGCACGTTGAAATACATGTTGAAGGATCTCAGGGCACGGTTGGCATGGGGGACGTATCTGGTCCATTTCCAAGCCATAAATTGGTAGCTCCAATGGCAGATCTAAGCATACCTATTAGCATAGCTTATCTTCTCTGCATATAACCCGCTCGCGTAGAAGAGGATGAGGGTGGTAAGTGCGATTAGAAACGCCGATTGAGTAATGTAAGGGGAAACCACAATATGTGGGTGGTTGTCCAGAGGAAGCTCCTGAAGCAGCGTATTAATCGGCCAAGTGACAAAATGGGTAGAAAACAAGGTATCGGAGGCAAGCACTAAAATACAAAAAATTAAGTGGACAAGAAGGACTGGGTGCGCCTCAGCGAGCCTATCCAGATAACAATGGTTGCGGAAAAATGACAGACTTTGATATTTTCGCTTTTTTCTCCTCAAGCGAGCCACATTGACCTTTAAACGCTCCTCAAAGAGCAGCAAATCTCTAGAGGGGATTGGGACTTAGGTTGATGAATGCAAGAGGGTAGTCCCTGACATCACCTATATGTGGCATTATCTGCAGCTGGCGCCCAAAACCTAGGTGTCGAGGGGCGGGATTGAGCAGGTCGTGTTGAGGCCATTATCCAGTGATTCGAGGAAGAATATTCCATTCAAATATGCTCAATTCATGTGACATCTAAGTAATTCAGTTCGTCGCATAACTAGACGCCTGACTTCGGTGCTCCTGAGGTCTCTGATGAGCTGGGCCTTCTGGTATTCCACATCCGTTCCTAATCCACGTCATGCCATTACTCACCCACCCACACACCTTCCAGTATTGGTGGCTTGTGGTACCAACCACATCCTTCCGCACCTTGCAAGCGGTTTTAAGTCGCGCATCAGGTGTCGACATCACTATACGACTTGCTTCATATCATCGAGTGTACTTATTGCGAAACGCTCGGGATAATTCCATACTGTATTGTCTTTTCACGACGCTCCTGCGAAACGAAATATCACAACTTTCACGATATACACTTGCCCTGGCCACGTGGCATCAGTCCACATACTGGTGAGGGGAAATTAAAGGTAAACCATATTTGATACGTGTGCTCTACAACAAAAGGCATTGCCGTGCCATTTGACTCCATGAGTTATCAACTGGAGAGCAAGGGGAGACGGGAACATTTTGGCTACCCCTTTCTAGAGCAGCAAGGCGATGTGCTATATACCACTTTTGCAACAAGTTGAGAACTTCCTTCCCAGTAAACAATACTTTTTTTAATCCGGAATTTATCCGATGTCAGTGTGACGACAGGCGGATCACAAGTTGACCGCGTGCTAGTGACTGAGCGACTTTCGACAGCACACGCCATTGAGGGTCCGTTAATGCACAAGTTCGTAAGATGGATTCAGCGATGCAAAAATGGGGAAGTCAGAACGTCACAGTCCGTCCGGCTGCAGTAGGCAGGTGACCAGCCTCTCTTTAACGGGAAGAAACGGCTGCAGCATGTGTCCTCCAAAGGTCTGATTACACTTCAGAAACTTGAGATGGACTTTCAACTTAGCCTTCGACCCTCGACACCTGAGGAATGTAATAACTGATTATAGTGCAAATGCCCAACTGCAATTAAAGTTGACATCAGCTCACGCGTCCGTTCTTACCTTCGATTCCCAGCGCGAGTGATGTAATGCTGTTGAATATATTCCCTAGTGCCTGCGCCTCATCCACAAGAAGCCCTCCATCACGTTCTGCTTCAGCGAAAAGAACTTCCGTGCATCGCTTCACTTCCGCGAGATACTCCGGTGGAAAACAAACCTGGGTGTGGTGTCAGTTCGATGTCGGCGGGAAGGACAAAGCATCGCACCTTCTCGGGAACGTTGGAGGCTTGTACCGAGGTTAGACTCCCGGCATATTCTCCAAACGTAGACATGCTACAGCCGACAGTTGTGTCGGGTTCTTCATCTGATGACGATGAGGGGCGTGCCTCCTCCTGTGCCTTCGCTACGTCTGTTGCGGTGCTGGTAGAAGGGGACTGGGAATTGGGTGACACGTCGGGTGCTGATACATCGTATTCGGGTTTTTGAGGCTGCAGTATCTCCACCGCAGGCTGCTCTTTCGATCTCGGGACAGGGTGTCCACTCACGGCGCCAGCCCCTGCGGGTCGGTTCGTAAAACATGGGACGTGGGCGAAAGCGTGGGTAAGCTTTAGCCGAAAAATGCAGGGTGTGCTGTCCGTTACAGTAAGTGTAGCCCAGCCGTTGCAGACGAATCGTGGTATCTTCGGCAGCTTCTTAGGGCGTCTTCGTTTTTCATCCGGATGGGGAGTATGCTTGGTTTGTTCCCCTTCAAGTTGTGCGCAATAATAGGTGAAAGAACTTGACTTCCGTGTCGGTACCGTGCTGTCTTGACGGCGCTTATAGCTTCCACCTCATTGAGTCACATTGAATGAAATGAAACAAATCCAAGACTCACTTGAACCGATAACCGGCAGCTTGCTTCACCTCCACCATCAGAGCATTCGCGCGTTCTAGAAATGTATCACCAGATGCACTTGGATGCGAGGGGCTGAGCATGAAGTGACGATCGATGTCAATACGCTCCTGGGACTGGGAACGTATCTCCGTCAGCAATTCTTCCCAAGAAATGGGAGAGGCGTTAATGACTCGGGGCAACTCGTGTCCTAACTTCGAGTCAACTCTTCGTTTTGTGTGCTTCATACAGGTCTTGAGGTAACCGATACCATTCAAGCGAAGTGGAAATGAAGATAACCTAATACAAGTAGGTCAAATCAGTAACAAGTTCTGAAGACTTGGCGAAAGGAGCAAACGGACGGTCCAAGATAAGCGCATTGACTGCATTTTACTAGAGTTTCCAAATTTGAAGGTGTCGGGTCAAGCTGAGCATCATTTAGTGGATCGTGCCAAGACGGAGCTGTCTCTGTGGGTGACAGTGTCAAGGAGTCCGATTCCCAACTCGAGCTTGAAGCTACTGCATCTGAACGACGCAGGGGGCTGACATTTTTAGCCTGATGAGAGGGTTGGTCCTGTTACCACGAACTTCAGAGGTCCACTCATTACACACCATGATTCGTCGAGGTCCTCGTTCTCAGCAATGTGAATCAGGGAATCCCGTGACACATCGTCATATAATGGGTCAAGTCATTCCTGAGCTGTATTGTAGCGGAGTTGGCCGAATATATTTGTCTATTTGTCGATACGGAGAATAGAATTGTCAAATCGTTCATGCAGCTTCCCGTGCGCAACACAGATAACTGTCATTTGTACATACAAACGGATGTGTTGTGCAAGGGACCCAATGTCCTTGTTAACGAATAGATTGCAGGCCATTCTCTAGTTGAACGTTCTGCTTCTTTTTGTGCTTCTTGACCGGAAGTTCCCAAATTCTCCAGAACTTGATATTTTCATCACCAGAATTGGTAACGATGAAGTCACCATTTGGACTGACAGCCGAATTGAGAATACGAGCATCGTGAGCATCTCGTATCTCCGTGATTTTCTCAAGTGCGGGGTAAGAGTGGAGCATGATGGCATTGGTCGGGAAACCGTGTGTACTGAAGATCTCCTTGGAGTGAGGACTGAAGTGAACAGATGTTACTTGAGCAGGCGTTGTCAATGAATGTAACCGGGAGCCGGTCGATGCAGACCAAACATTGATCTTGCAATCACTTGTTCCTCCGCCGGACGCGAGGATATTCATATTCCATGGGGCCCATGCGATGGCCTGTAGCGATTTGAGTTGAGAATAATTGTAAGAAACATCAAACAATACCTTCACAGCAGCCGTGTGGACAGACTTTGACCATTTTGGCTGCCCACGACTATTGCTTCCTGCGGTTCCTACGCGTGGATCCCAGCAGTTCACGACGTTATCGTTGGCTCCACTCGCAAGGGCTTCGCCATCTTGCCTCCACTTTAGCCCACACACCTCACCGGTATGCCCCAACAGTTCCATGACCTTGTGATTTGCGATCCTTACGTCATGATGCCATATACTCCCGTCTGCACACCCCGAGGATATGATGTGGTGGTTCCAGCTGAGAACCGATACCTGGCCTTGATGGCCAGACATGGTTCGCAGCTTTTGCTTAGTTTCCACGTCCCATATCTCAACCTCGCCAGAATCAAGACCGATACCTGAATACGACCCATCACTCGAGAAGTCGACTGAGGAGACGTATCCATTTTCATTCTCACAGGTGCTGAGAATCTCGGTCTCGTTTGTTTCCGCATTCCAAATGTACACGGACTCGCGCAGCGCGACACCAACGAGATTTGTACATGACCACGCAATGAGATTGAGATAATAATCGTTAATCATTCCTGGGGCGTCCAAGATTCTTTCAGCTGCAGTTGGGATCCGCCGGGTCATATTAGTGTATACCCCATTCGAGGTTCCGAGAGCACCAGGTCTGGCATAGAGAGGTTTCACGAGTTCGCGCTGCATGGCAATCGTAGGGTCTTCTCGGGGGCGGGGGCGGTTTTTGTGAATTGAAGGATCCGTTCTGTAGCTGGCTTGATATCAAGGGCTTCCCTCAACCGATCATCATGCATTACGTCTTCAGAGGGAGAATCCATTGCGGCATGGGCCAGAGTATGACCAGAAAATGCACCATCCTCTCCGCGCTCATGTACAAACCGATCATCCTTTCGAGAAACTTGAATGCAAATAGGGACACGGTAACATAGCTCAAACTTACAATTCCAACACGCAGGGGCTGCTTGCCGTTGGGAGGCACTTCCACCTCAGCATCAAGGGTTTTCAGCCTGGGAAAAGACTCCACGCTCTTTGATATCTCTTTAGCTTGGACCAGTGTAGCCTCAGAAACCTCGGCCTTCAGGCCCCGCCAATCATGCTTCACAACATTAGTCAAGTTGAGAGGCATGTTACCGATACCAAGCATCCCATGCTGGGTTTGAGAAGCAAGAGCAGACCAGTCGGGGTCTCGGGTCAGAAGCTGCACAGGAGAGCGGTAGTCGTCAATCGGTTTGTAGGCTCGCGGCTTGGGCTCAGAGCCGCCTCTACACGACGATTGGACAGAATCGCCGCCTATGACTGATGAAGACGCAGAAAGGGAAGTAGAAGCGGAAGGAAATGGGTGGACTCTTGATCTATGCTGCGATTGTGCGACGCTGAGATTCTTCAAATCAACAGTCAAATCATCAACGACATTGGATGGCGTCGGCTGTTTGGAAGGACTAAGGGGTATTCGAGGTGTGTTACTTCCTACGAAACGCTTTGTATGATCTTTTGTCTTTGGCTGCTGGTTCTCCTTTTGTCGGTTGGACAGTGCAACGTCGGGACTCAATGATGACATGATGTACGAGCAGAGGAAAGTTGGTCGACACGTGTTTGTCCTTGTTTGGACGCAAACTGAAAGTGCGCGTCCCAATTGCATCGCCACAAAACCAACCGATTGTGGTTCAATTGAATTTACTACGGGCTGTGTTTATGTCAGGGAGATCCTTGTGAGGTCGCTTTGCGTAGTACATGTGCATACATGTTGCGGAGTAACTATGTATATACGATCTTCGAATTACCGATGAGATACTGCAATCCGTTGTTTCAACAGCAGCAGGGGATAGGAATGATGTAGCACCAACCCCCATCTGGAAGAGGAAAGGGAGAGTATAATCAGACATTTCTCATATGGCCAATGAGCTAGCACCATTTACTTGGACAAGGGATACACCCTCCACGGAGCCGCAACACCTTGTTCCTATCCTCGATCCCACTCTCCACTGACATTGCCTTTGTGGCGTTTGGTTGAGTTGTGACAGGGGCCTAGGGATATTCGTTGACGCGCCCACTACATATGTGCTTCATGCTCACTCATACCTTGACAGGAAAGTGAATTTTGGAGGTTGTCCCAGGAAGTGTCATGTTTCGCTCAAGGGTGTCAAGATTGCTTTGCAAGGGCGACCAAGATTTCAGCGTTATATGCGAGTCTAGGATCCGCTCGTCAAGGTACGTAAATGTCACATAACGTCACCAAGTATTTGATATGCATATGATGGAGCTAGAGGCTGGTCACCTGCCTACCGCTTGGTGCCGTGGACAAGCGCTTACATGTAAGTAACCCTCTTCCATGTTCAGACTAAGGTATGATGAGCGCCAGCAGGTGATCGTTCAAGCAAGTATTTTCAAACCCTTTGTTACAACTTACGAGCGGATAGCATGACCGATGCAGTTAAACCTATTGCAGTAAATCACCAATTGTGAGCTGATGCAACAAGCACTAGATGGAGGATTTGAGATGTTGTCTCGGCTCTTGGTATCCGCTGGCATGGATGGATAAATATTCTACACTGGTGTCGTCTTCGCAGGGGCCATGATCGACATGCGCATGCAAATCAATTGTGACACAGCCATAATAAATTATTGTATGTAGTTTCAACAATTCACAACGTTATTCCATTCGCATCTACCACCGGCACAATGGATGTCCACAGGGCGTTGGCGGCCGGGGAAGACGATGTTGTCACTGTCAACCAGAGGGCCCTAATAGATAAGATACTCGCCCGTTATCCGGGAGAATATACAGGTACGGCAAGGGTCTCTTCCGAACGGTTGGCGCATCCCCCAGATTATTCTTCCAGTCTTTCGTGAATTGCTCCAGGTAACCGTTGTTCCCGGCCGATATGGATGGGGTTCGAAGGCTGACTCGTGCTCAAGAATGCGGATGATGCCAATGCCAAACGCGTAGAGATCTACTTTCAAACCCCTAATTTCAAGTTGTCTTCACACGACAAATCAGAAGCACCAGTTGGCACTGCAGACTTGGGGAACACGAATCCAGAACTGCCCGACCTCACAACTGCTATTGTGAGTCCTTTATTTTCTTTCTGCCCATGGAGGAGGTCCTGCGACGCGTATCGCAGATAAACAAGTGGATCGTGAAGAATGATGGGAGACCTTTTGAAACGGACGACTGGAATCGACTCAAGAAAATTGGTGCGGACTTTCTTCTTGGTTGGCATGTCGTTGACTCGCTTGCATCCATCCAGCTGAAGGTAATCCTGACGAGGATAAGATTGGGGCATATGTGCGTGAATTTCCACAAGTCTGGAGCCGATAGCTTGGTTCAACGGCGATCTATAGGGCGTAGGTCCGTGGGCCAATTTCAAAGCATGGAGACTTCGGGAAGGTGACGCTACTCCATAGGGTTCTATTCATTGTTCTCGGTTACTGAGACGCCGCTTGTCGCCTCCGGCGATAAATATATGGTTTTCTACTGGAAGGACGGGAAGGATCAAGTGAGAAATCCCCTTCTGTCTCCAATGCTTACTCTTATACCAACGGAAGCTTCACGTTCGGACTGGTGTTCATCAAAGTGGGCCTTCTGCAGGGTGGACGTCTATCCAGATGGATCTCAGGGACCCTGGATCATTGCCAGGCAGGCCAGTGGATATGGCTCGCTTTTTCTGCACCAGCCTGACATTCACAAATTCCATATCTGAGATATCCCTCTATTTTGATGAGCACCGTCTTTTCAAACTATCCAAGGTACTTTCCCCTCCGAAATCACACGCGTTGCCTCCCTATTTGAAGGCACGATCGCCAAGATCCTTTATGCTAGTCAAAGGTGTCCGCTCTACAAGTAAATGGTTTTTTAGTTTGGCGGTCTGAGGGAAGCTCACACCGCACATCCATAGATGTAGCTGTTCATGCTGATGTATTGCGATGGGTATACAATACTGGGTTTGATAAACCCTCTCCTCTCCCATCAGCCGTAGCGTCAGAACAGGGCTTTTTCACATCATTCTTTACTGCATGGAAGCATGCGAAAGCTGTTCGAAGCTCGCCTCAGCCTCCAACCCCTAATATTGAAGAAGATTTAATGGAGACTTGTGTCTCCTCTATCCATGTTCAGATATATTCAGCTGAAATCGCTATTACACTTCCCCGGAAAGAATCGGCGGAAGTGGAACGAGCCACAAAGAAAAAAGCTCCAAGCCGTTGTTTATATCAGATTATCTATGTAGGTTGGGTGTGCATCATTCTTTGAGCACTGATTGATAGTTTTTTAGACAGGGAAAGAAGCACACGATGCCAGTCATCCTGTAGATTCTGATGGTTCAGCATTGGACTCATTTGGCATTTTCAGTGGCCTCCGCGGCGATTTAGAGGGGTATGCATCCATGTAAGTTTCTGCGACGTGCTAATACCGAAATTACAGTAGGAATACTTCTCGGGTTTTCATTGTGAGAAAGTGGTTCCCTTAATGGATCGGTATGTCCTGATTCTCCTTAATATATGCAGGGTCACTCCACGGCTCAGAGCACTGGGATGGGTGGTCATCATGCGTCTCGCTTCATCCCGACAGTGGAAAGAGAAGCTATTGACTTTGTGTACGTCGTTTTACCGAGCCGTTTTAAATGGAGGTGTTAAACAGACTTTAGCGATCCCATGGTGTCGATCTGGAATAGGGAACTCCTATACGTGGGCGGGTTTTTGTGTCGCGCTATTTATGAACTGGAGCTTGCGGCCATCGGCGAGCACTGGAACATTCTTCAACTTCAAAATGAGGCGGCAGCGGCGTCCGAGAGCCGTGACTTCCTGGACAAAAAGTTCCAGCACATCCTACGTTTCTTCAATTTCCACGAGTCGACCCCTGCACCACAGGTATCCAAGGAACTTCAAAGAGCCTTTTTGTCTAGCTCCTCGGATCTTTCACTTCCTGTCCTGTCCTCTGCTGGGATTAAACCGTCGGAAGAGGTCCGCCGGCCTGACAAAGCTTTCGAAGGTTTCATCAAGGGTGTGTCAACGATAACAAGAGGTGCACTAGGAAGTGCCCCAAATTTATTGGACACACTGCCGGCGCCTATTAGGAAGATAGGGTTCGATGATATAATTCACGAGTTGGAGTCCCGTCCGTTGTCGGAACAGGAAACAATCAGCTGTCTGAACTGGCGGCTCGACTGCCCACACTCCTTCTTTCCCTCAAATCAAGAAACGATGCTTACGCGCCGATTACTTGAATCTGCGACGCTCTTCATCGCTGCAGAAAAAGACGCTCCCGAGCGGCTAATTCAACTTTCTGTGATCCAAACATACCTAAACCTCAAAAGCGGAATTCCACTCAACACACCCCTCCCTGACCATTGCTTGCCAGCTACCATTTCAAAAGCCATAAAATCTGGACGAATTAGGGAAGTTTTTCCTTGGACAGAATTGACTATTAAGATGTGGATAGCACATTTGGTTCATATATCTACCATGGTTGACAATGCACCTCTCCAATCGCGGATCACCCAATGCCCTACATTTGCGGAATTAGCACTAAATGTTCTTTCAAAACAGTGGTCATCGGTCTCTGGGCCCGATCAGACCGATATTGTGAACCTGCTCAAGAACACGACCTGTATCCCCACCAAGTTAGGAATGAAGAAGCCAGATGAGGCCTATCTCCCTAATGTCGACATGTTCCCCGATCTCCCCATCATTGATGTTCAGGGGTCCATAAAGGGTGACAAGCTGCGAATGGTGCGTTTCCATGCGTAGAACTTTTTATGTCATTAATGTGCACTCTTCAGCTGGAAACACTAGGTATTCGGAAACGTGTGGAACTTCAATTGATCTTCACAAGGTGCCTTCTAAATGCCTCCATTATTGCATCAACTTTTTCATGTTGCGCTGATAAGGGAGATGGCGTCTGGCAATTGGTCCATTCCGAAGCTTATCAGCTACCTCGTTAGCGTCAAGGAATATCTTACTGTGGAAGAGCTCAATAAGCTGGCACAAACGAGGGTCTTCTTGGCAGTCCCATCTGAACGATTTCTCGATGCATCTCGCCGTTGTCTAGCGCGAGAGCTGTATGTGCCTTCCGATACACTAAGACTACTAGGGCTTCCGATACTAGATTGGCAAGGGGAGAAATGGCATTCCAGCTCTCGGGAAGGTAAATTGTCGTTAGGTGCCGTCATACCACGCTGATCGTGTCTGCCTTCTCAGCCAAGTTCATGTTCAGCCTTGGGCTTCAGGAGGTCCGTAATTCGCTTACTGCTTACCTGGTGCATATTTTGATCATGGGTTTAGAAACCCAGTGCTGAAATCTTGTTACCGCTGGCAGTGGATGGGGGACCTCATCGGGATGCAGCTCTGACATACTTCATCCAAAATTTTTATGTCGCGTATGCAAGTACATATGACCCAGAAATATTCGCTTCGGTAGCCTTCGTCCCCTCCATTGCCCCTGACGGATCTCAAGGCTTTTCCACTCCAACTCAAGTGAGGGATCTTGGCTTACAGTGGTCACCTCGCTCACTTCGTTATCAAGGTTTTTTCCGAGAGCAGTTGCTCTGTTTTAGGCTTCCCTGTAATACGACCGGAATGGAAGCATTATTCGAAGACGCATTTCAAGCTGCGGGATAGCCCATCAAGCGAGCAAGTTTTGGTTGCCTTGCGGTCTGCGCCACCCCATAGTCAGGCCGAAGGTCGCTTAATATTTGAGTATTTGTCCACTGTTGTTAGCAGTGAGTATACGTGGCTCGTCGAGAATCTGGGCTTCTCACTTCTGTCCCAGATTTTTCTCCATATCAGCGACATCAGTTGGGCGACTACCCAGTTGTCCCGTATTTGGATGGGGATCAAGCATTAAGACATCTTCGGCCTTCCGAATGCTTTGTCGGACAGCCAGATCGCAAGGTCTTATCCAGAATATTTCAGTTTGTGGACTTCGGAGATA